TCTGATTGTTGTGAATCTAATTGTGAATTTGACTGTAATATAATAGTTTCCTTAATATAATTTGATTGTTGTGAATCTGATTGTAGTGAATGATTATTGTGAAGATTGTTGAAGAGTGTGAATCTAATTGCACTTGCGTATGATTTTGATTTCAGGCTTGTGAGATGCGACGATGGAATTCTGAAGGGTGTGAATTGTGATTCCATAGTTTTCATCGATTTTCTACCTCTCAAATAAGCAATGACTTGCCCTAACTTGATTTTGAATATATTAAAAATGTTTGAAACATTGTCGGCTTATACAATTGTGGCATGGTCAGCTTATATGAATGTTCATTGTAGTCAGTAGGATCAATTGCACAGGCGCACGTACTCACTGTATTGAATACTTTAATTGTGAGATTATTGAGATATTTTGTAATTGTCTTTAATTGTGAGATGATTAAGTTAGCAATACGTTGCATACTACACAGTTGGATTTTGTATTTACGTTGATCTCAGGGGGCCCAATTTTGAGAGTTCGCCTCATGCCCCGAAAATGACAGGACCGGCACTGAAAATGATAATAAGGCATACTCTCTCTCTCTCTCTCTGATTTTGTTGATAAATATTTACAATTGCATCTTCGATGCTCAACTCCATAACATGGAGAGTTTGATGAGAAATTTAGCCCTTGTTTGTCTACCCTTTTTCAAAAAATTGTTTTTTACGGTAATCAATCTCTACCACACATTCAAATTATAAAATATTTTACACATAAACCGATAAAGTTTCTTCCAATTTCAATCATATATTTTTCAAAAAATACTATTCATTACACCATTTTCTTCTCAATAATGGTTAACAAACAGGCACTTAGATAAGCATTATTTTTTTCTCTTTAATTTATCTAACACTTGTCATTTAGCCTCTGTTTACACACATTCTTTAAAAATACATTCTTTCAAATTTTATTTTCAACTACATATTTTTCAATAAAATAATAATTTTCATCACATCAATAACTTTTCCTTACTTTTTGACCACATATTTTACATCATATTACTATTTAAAATACATTATTACTTTCATTTATCTAACACTTGTCATTTAGCCTCTGTTTACACACATTCTTTAAAAATACATTCTTTCAAATTTTATTTTCAACTACATATTTTTCAATAAAATAATAATTTTCATCACATCAATAACTTTTCCTTACTTTTTGACCACATATTTTACATCATATTACTATTTAAAATACATTATTTCCTCAATAATATCCATCAAACACACCCTTATTATAATCGATGACTCCAAAACATTTTTCTTATTGTAATATTAATTTAAATTGTGTCATTCATAAAAACTTTGAAAATAAATTAATATATTTAAATATTTATCTTCAACGATGTAGAGTCTGAAGAACTCATCCTGTTCAAATAAAGTGTTGTTCTTAATTATCAACTAATGTAGCAAAGAAAATAACAATGTCAAAAAAATTGACTTTCATAATTTTCGTTGCATACTTAGTACAATAAATTGGTATTAACTTAATTTAAGCATTCGCCTAACCCTGCTTTTAGTGGGCTAAATAGTTAACTCATCCTACAGGTTTTGCCTAACCATAGCTTCAAGATTACAGAACTATTAGGAATTTTCTTGCCTATTCTTAAGAAAATATTAATCCTATAATTAATTAATTATTAAAATGCTTAAACTTTTAGATATAAATAGCATGCATGCTTTTTTTTTAATACTGATTTACGTGACTGCAGCATCCCATGTGCGGAAATCTCAAATTTATTCCTGAAAACAATTCACTTTGTTAACGTCTACTAACAGATTCCATCCGATGAGTGATGGACACTAACAGAGTAAAGTTCAATGGCTAATGGAATAATTTTGGAAGTTCAGTGAGTAAGTCACGACATGGTGCAAAATTCATTGTGTGTTATTTATCCTCAATTTGTTGCTTGATGATGGTCACTATCTTCATTAAAATTCCCACTGTATTACAGGATAAGGAATTAGTTTCCTTAACAATTAGGACAAATCCTTCCTTGGAATGGACAATGTTTTTCATTTTTTGTAATGTACCACATTATAATAATGTATGCCAAAACAATTACAATACTTAAGCCACGATCTCATCGCTCATGCACTCTCTAAATTTAACATCTACCTTGTTTCCATCTATTCGAACAACGTCGCAGCATTCACTTCGATCAATCTGATGAAGAAAAAAAAAATTAGAAAACAAGATATTTCTATATATCCATAAATGATGCCAAAAGAGAGTACTTGGATTCTCTCAAAAATTAAAAAGTGTAGCATGTCTAAATCTAACTTGGGTTCACGATGATGAAGGAACCGAGTTGAAAAAAATGAGAAATTCTAGTTATAACATATTTGATGAAGTCGTCGCTGGAATCAATATCTTGTTCAAAAAGAAAAGATATCAAGTATCATGAGACCTTTTTTTTATTGTATATTATATGGATGATCCGTCTTTCTCTAAAAAAGAAACAAAATATAATCAACCCTTTTTTGGGGATTGATGAGAGTAGGAAGCATGAATATGCATCACCAAATTTATTAGAAATAAGACTTAAACCGGTTTTTTCTATGTGAATAAACAACCAGACAAAATCTATAAAAGAAACAAAAACTATATATCTCTAGTTGAAATTTAAAAACATACCTCACTGCGCTTTGTGGCTGGTGAGAAGACATTAATTTTTGAAATAATTTCTGCAGTATGATTGCCTGTTGATGAACAAGCCAGCAGCCCGCGAGGCCATGCTCTTGAAAAACTCGTAAAAATCTCTTTTTTTTGAGGTTTTTCTATGGATTCAAAAAAGAAAAGATGTGGTGCTTCACAAGGGTCGTTAGAGGGTCTCCTTGTGTTGAACATATAATGTGGTGGTCTTGGACTCTTTCCCCACGTTTTAAAGGTTTCAATGGGGTATTGTAAATAGCTTCTTGGCATAATTCTCTCGTATATATGTGCAGAATAGCCCCAAGAAATGGAAAAAGTCCAGTTGCTTTGCCTGTGATGGCAGATGGTTTGTTGCAAAATTCGAGACTGGTCGACCTCGGCCGCCTTCATGAGGTGGCGCGTGGACTCGGCACGATCCATGGAGGGAAATATTGGTTGCACCATGTCGAAATGGTGAAGGGACATGAGTGGAAATTGTGGGTGTGATGATAAGAAACCGGATGCATCACCACGTAAATCCATCTGCAAACATTAGATTAAATACTAATTAATTAGTATATAAATAATAGTTTAAATGATTCGAACCTTAATATTATTAAACCTTAAATTTTGGTGATATTTGATTAGTATTTTACCTGATGAATTCCTTTTTGTGGAGACAGACTAACTCCAATATCAACAATACATGACATTGTGGTTAGATCAGCTGCATTGAGATGCGCATATCTCTTGAGACATGATTCCATGTCTTTAGCCAGAGCTCTTGCCAAAGGGGCACTCAACATGAATCCGGCCCCACCAAATCCTTGGCTAAACGAGAACCAGTAATTCGACAAAATAAACTCAGACTGCCCACCTAGATAGTAATACTTCGTATGGTCTAACTTTGCAAGAACATCAACAATATTATCAAGAAAAAATATCGAATCGTCATCTCCCATTACTAGCCATCTGAGATTTTCGTGATCCTCTCTAAAAGTCTCCATTATTCCATGAATAATCCGTTGGGCCGTGACATCGCTTTTGTTAAGAAATTTTGAAAGATCATCCGATACTTTGTATGGTGGAGAAGCTCCAGACCAAGGGAGGAGTCCTGCTGTTGGCTCTTTATCAAGAAACAGAAATCCCCTTGTAATGTTCGGTCTCCACCATGATTCTATGTATGCTTTCCTATGATGCCATGCTTTTTCGGAGCCCACAAGGCCAAAAACTAGGTGGCTAAGATTCGTCTTCGAATAATTAGAAATTGTAGGAGAAAGTACAGAACTGGACATGGAAATGGAATTATAAGATGATGATGTTTTCCAGAAAGGAGAAAAGAAATCTGAAGCTGGGCAATTGGGATACTGATTGGAAAGGGCAATGAAAACAAAATAAAGGATCATACAGAAAATGACAAGGGTTTTGCATAGGCCACTCACATCTAAATTACACTTACATGATCCCATTTTCATGTTCTTGAAACAGTACAGGTGTATCAGATTAAAAGGATCAAATATAAATCAGAAGATGATGATATCTATGTGGTTTTTATGGTCAAACTTTCCTTCATTCAGTTTGCTAACTCACGTGATCATGTATCGTAGAGCACACGAAGATAATTACATGCACACTCAAGGAATTACTGGATTTTTTGTTGAATCACATCATCTATAACCTAAATGTTGTAGGCCTCATTCGTGATGTGTGGAATTTTTATATATGCACGGACAAGTGACAAAGAGATTTAAACTTAAAACTCGTTCTAATTTGGAAAAAAAAAATTCTTGTAAGGTCTTGCCCTAGTCTCTCTTTGTGCTCGTCCATTTGGTCGGAATGGAATTTGATATGCCAGGTTTTGTTGGTTGTTCGAAAGCCTTCTACCTAAGTCGTGGCGCTCTAATTTGTTACAATCAGCCTCACATCGTAGCAGAGTATTTGAAATATTGAAAATGAAAATTAATTAATAAAACAAATTTCACTATTATACTTCATTAGAAAAAAAAAGAAAAAAAAAGAGTTCCATATATTGTTTGTGACAGCTAATAAAACTTTAACTTAATTAGCAGTCTAAAACTAAACAACGTTACGTACATAATACGTAAATTTAAAATTAGTAGTGGAATTTATTAAATAATTGAAGTCAAATATCAGAATTATGAAAGCTGCAATCAGTTGATAGTAATTTAAAGACCTTAATATCGCACTTAATACGCATAATGCACCTTTGCTTAAGGCATTCACGGATCATTTTTAGTCAACTTGAGGAGGGATTATTTGGCCAATGCTTTATCCAAGTGAATTTTAAGACATTCTTGAAAATGCAATATTTTCATTTTAATGACGATTATCTCCAGTTCATACTGTTAAGGAATAAAATTTCATATCGAATAAAGAATGAAAAATATAGACCAATTTATAAGAGTTTGTGCTACTCTTCTTAATAAGGTTGACATTTTTAAGATGGATCTTCAGACAGATCTTAAAACATACTGCTCAAAAATATAAAGAATTAGATTAAGAAATAAAAGTTTGCCATTATAAGTTTTCCACCAAACAATATTTTTATAATTTCGAGTATCGGTAAAGGATCATGAGGGCATTGGCCAAAATCCCTCCTCAAGTTGACTTAAATCTTCCTTTAATTCTGGTGAATTACCGTGGATGTTTATCCCCTGGTACCAACTGCTTTAACCTTGCAGTCAAATTAGGGGTGTTAACTCCCGTGCCGGCATGCCGGATGGATGGCCGAGCCAGCTCTCTGCCAGGGCACAGTCACGAAATTCTTCTAGTACGGGCAATATTTAATGAAGGTAAAAATATAAAAACAACGTAATAACACAATAGTAAAAACGACATATCTTACAATTGTACACTGTAAGTTTTCGTACTTTGATATCTTTGTTCAATAACTTCATTATCAATCTTCAAAAATATATATTTCTCAACATAAACAATACGGAGCTTCAATTCGATTGCGCAATCTATTCGTCATAATGTTCATTTCAAAAAACTCTCTACTGTAGTGTTGGCAACGAAAAGAATTAGTGTCAAGGTCATACAAAATGATACAACATAAGCATACGGAGGCATAAAATAGGCACTGCACGTATCACCAACTTATCTCGACTTCTTAACGAAGGATTACGTGTAGTCGCAAGTGTTTTAAATATCTATTAATTTTGATTTATTTTTGTTTTGTAGGGCAATACCCCGCCTTGAAACACATTGTCGATTAATCAAGTGAAGAACGTGACTAAAGGATGATATTAGAGACAGAGTCAAGTATCATATGCTCACAAGAACCACGAATGATGAAAAAGAATAGGAAAATGGCTCAAGGGAGCTGCATGCCAAGAGAAACAAGAGCCTCGCTCGAGCGAGGTCTTCCTCTCGCTTGAGCGACAGAGGAATAAAAGAGGCACTATTTTAAAATTGTATCCTAGCTCGAGTGGGAACTTTTCTACTGTGCACGGGTTTTTCATTATTTGATCTGCTCGATGGTTTTTTGGTCATCGTTTTCCACAATCCCTTGGTCGATTTTTGTAACCTATATATAGGAGAAGTTATCTACTACGTTAAGTTTTTGCTCATGTTGGTCGAATGCAGGAACTCGAGAATTAAGGGGGAAAAATATGGGAAGTCAAAATCCTAACACTTTTATAATATCGAAATCTCTCCAAGATTGTCGAAATTAAAATACTCTAGTTTTAGTTCATGATTTTAGTAGTTTTTAGTTTAAATAAAATCAAACACAAATCTTTGGCTTTTCAAATTGACATACTTAAATTCGATAACTAAATATATAATTTTCATGAAACGATACTCAATTTATCATTATATTACTTGTCTTTAGATTTTAAGCGAGTAGAACGTTGACACACAAATGCAACATATACATATCAACGATGTTCTAAAAAGCTCGCCTAAGAGTCACTTAGGCTCGAAATTTGGACAAAACGACTCGCTTTGCGCTTAAGCACTTTTTTTTTCAGATTCCTAAATGGCTGGATTTTTTCCTTCCACTCTTTCGTCTTCTTTAAGCGATCTTTATTGATTTTTTTTTTTAAGTTCTTTTATTTGACTTTAGTTTATTAATTTTTTATTTTATGTGAAAACATTTTATTTGACTTTAATTTCTAGTTTTTAAAAGACTTTATATGTACAAAAGTCAAAATTGACTTTATCCAATAAAGAGTTAAATAAAATTTAAACTGGTGTTATTTATATTATGTAATTATGATTTCCAGACTCATTACTTTGTTGAAAACTCTAAAAACATATATAAAGTTCCAATAAATCTATTAAGTAGAACTTGTCTAGTTAAAAATTGAACCTATGAAAAATAATCTAATTTTTGTATTTCAAAAACTTGAAAATTGTATAATTGATTAATTATAAGAATTATTAAATAAATGTAGTATTTTATAATTTTAAATGTTTGGTATATATTATTTTAATTATTAAATGATTTTTAGAATGATTAAAAATTTAAAATAATAGCCTAGATTCGTTTAAACTCATAAAGTTTGAAACTTTGTCTGACTACACTTTACGTTTTTTAGAACATTGCATGCCAACACTTTTCCTCGTCTCTTCCTATCTGTCATATTTCCATCATTGAAAGATCAAAAGTAAAATAAAAATAAACTAAGGCTCTAATTGATATGCATTATTTTTCATATTCCAACGTTTTGCTTGTTTGATAGGCAAAATTTTCTTGGTAAATGATTTTTTCCCTCCCAACCCCCCACGTGACCCCCTTTTCTTGATTTTCATTGAATTGGTTTTCCCACCATTTTGGTGGGAAAATAGTTTTCCACCTTTTTTTTAGCAATGAAAATAAATTATATCTCTAATTGTAACAAATTATATCCCTTAAATGGACAATTTTCATATAAAATAAAATCAAACGAATATCAAAAGATTCAATATTTTAATATTTTTCACGTGAAAAATTATACTAATCAAACACAATTAATTGACAATTTTCAGAAAAATAATTTTAGGCAATTCAATTTCCTACAATTCATTTTCTTTCCACCCAAATTCTATTCTTACAATCAAACGGATCCTAATAGAAATTGAAATACGTTGAAAACATTACAAACAAATTCCTTTAAGTGAAAATTACACAAACCCAGAATTTTAAAGATTCAATTTCAAAAATCAGATTGAATGTTTCACTTTTTAAAAATCAGATATTTTATTTTTTTAATATTAAATATTAATTGTACAATTTTCATCCAAACCCTAATCAATTTCATTTCAATTTTCTCTCTATTCTCTCTGTCACTCTCTCTTCCTTCTCTCCACTCTTTGCCGCTCTCTTCCACTCTCCTCTGTGTTAATTCATGGCTAGTTAATCAGAAATGGCAGCCGCAACAAAGGAAAAAAAAAATAGAGAGTAGAAACAAGAAATATGGCTTCAAAAACCGACACAGTTTTGAAAGGAAAAACATCCATAAACCATAGATTTATTGACAGTCTCTTCCTGTATGATTTCCCATTTTGGATAGTGCAACGGTGCTCTCATTCGATTGGATCTATTGAGGTGGTGGTGATGTGTGGTTGTGGTGCTTGTTCTAGTGGTGGTGGTTTTGGTGATATTTGGTTGTGATTGGATCTGGTGAGGTTGTCGTGTTTATTTTGGGTGACGGTGACTGTGACTGTGTTGGAGGCGGAGGTTATGTTAGATGTAATGGTGGCTGTGGTTGTTTTGGTGGCGGAGGTGGTGGATCTTGGTAATGGTGGTGGTGGTGGTGTTGAGATGTTGGTGGCGACAGGTCTCTCCAGGAGGCGATGGATTGATGCGACGTCGTGGCGGTGTTTTTCGCGATGTGTTGATTTGTTTAAGGTGTGATGTTGCTGTCGCGAGGTGGTGGTGGTAGTTCTGGCGGCGACGGTGGCAGTGGTGCGGTAATGGTCATAAGTTTGGTTGTGGTCACAAATTATTTGTTTGATTGTGACTATCAAATTGTTTAATTTGTGATTAATAAACAATATGTGATTAATGAAAAAGATAAATTGTGACAAAAAAAACGCGTGATCAAAAAAACTGTTAATTTGTGATCGATAATTTTAATGAAAAAGACAAATTGTGACAAAAAATATATATGACCTAAAAAATTGTTAATTTGTAATCGATAATTTGACAATTTGTGATAGTTCATTAAGCCGTGACTTATAATATTTGTGATTTGAAAACTATAAATAAATTGTAACGTTTTAATTTTCGATTTGCGAGCGATGAACAAATTGTGATCAATAAAATTTTTGAATTGTGACCGTAAAAAAATTTGTGACATATAAAATTTATGATTTGTGACCAATAAATAATATGCGACCTGTTAATTTAATAGATTTGTGACCGATGAATAAATTGTGAATTATAAATTTTTGATTTGCGATCGATGAACAAATTGTGACCTATAAAATTTTTGAATTGTGACCGTAAAATAATTTGTGA